TGTTTCAAGAACTTGGTGACAACTGGATATGGAAGGTGAGGAAGATACAGGATGAGTAGAGAGGACAGCATCTAAGGTAGGGAGAGGAGCAGGCTTGGTGGGGTGGTGGGAACAGAGAAAAGGAGTTCAATGTTGACCTTAAGCTTGAAGAGTCTAAGACACCCTGGGAGATGCAGACGTGCCAGCGAACATTGGAGCAGAGTTTAGTACTCATGAAAGACGATCAGGACTGGAGATTTGAATCTCATTACCACAAGGGTGCAAACTAAAGGCTTATAGCATATTTTACTGTATTGCCCAGGAAGAGCAGACAGGTCAAGTAAAGGGAGGAGAATGAAACCCTGAGCCACACCAACATTTAGGGGCAGGAGGAAGCAATGAAGAGGGGAGATGGTGTAGGACCCAGTGCCGCTTAATCTTCATGACCACCTGGAAAGGCAGGAGTCACCTCTGCATTGTGCTGAGACCTCAGTGCTTGGCTTGCCTAAGGTGCTGTAGCTGGAGAAGGTCAGTGTTTGAACTTGAGCCTTTCATTCAACTCTGAAGCCGCTGCCCCTTCCATCCTACTAGGCTGCCGCTTGCAAGGCTGGAAACAAGAACTTGGAGGAGTGGAAGGAAGCCAGGAAGGGAGCAGTGTGTGGAAGCCAGGGGAGGGCACGGTGTCAAGGAGAGGAGGTCAATAGTGCCAAATGCCTCAGAGGGGTCAAGTAGGATGAGGACTGCAAAGACACCTCCACTTTTCAATTCAGAGGCCCATGCAGCCTTTAGGGGCAGTTTCAGTGAAGTGGTGGGAGCGGAAGAGAAGGCAGCGGGATGATAGAGGCTTCCTTTTCAGTATCTCTGGGACTTGCCCCGCAAGCCCACACATGCAAATGCCCAACTCTGCACACCTCATGCTTATAGTAGCCTCTTAACCCATCTCAGCTCCATCCACTCTGCCAGAATAGCAAGGAACATTATGGTGGAGGCGGGGCCGCCATGCCTTACACCAGGGAGGATGGCAGAGACCGACGCACAAGGTGGTGGAGGCCGGGGTGTTGTCTCCATCTTATTCCTGTTCTGTCCATTACATTGCTGCAGCGATCAGTATCTGACTCTAAGAACCCCGGGTCCCATTTCCAGGCCCCTGCGCCTTCGAGCAGATCGGAAGCCCTAAGTCTTGGTTTCCTCTTGTGTAAAATAAAGGAGTTGTTAAAGGGGCCTTCCAGTTCTGACTGCCTTGAATCCCATGAAATCCAAACTCCTAAAATCATCTCCTAAATAATCCTCAAGATTTGAGGCTTCTCCTCCAGGGCATCCTCATTAACCTGCTACTCTGTCATGGATACGTTTCTGCATTTAAGCAAACATCTCTCTCTAAGCCTCTGAACATAACACATCTTGCCATTATCTCTCCTCCTCACCTACACACCCAAATACACACACACACACATATACACACACATCCATACACACACGCACACACGCACATCCCACACACCCCACCCCTCACACACACGTCACACACACACACAATCCCCACCCCCCACACATCCCACACACACAATTCCCACCCCCATACATCCCACACACACACACACATCATCCCCAGCCCCCACACACACATCACACACACACATACACACAAACCCCACCCCTCACACACACATCACACACACACACAATCCCCACCCCCACATATCCCACACACACATACACACAATCCCCACCCCCACACA